CATTATGTGCAGTGCCGAGATAAACTCCTTTAGAAAACAGCCTCCTTTCCATCTCTGATTTGTTAGAAATGTTATTGCAGATCTCTTATTTGAACCCGAGGTGCTTTTTCTCAGCTTCTCAAAACACCACGTAGAGAGCTTTTTCCTGTTGTTTGCTCTGGAGATATACATTGGGAACAAAAACCTTAAGTCAGTTTCTTCACTTTGTACTGATTTGGCTCTTAGTAATTATCCCTTCTTCTATTAAACAAGAGAAGACAGATTGAATTTCTAACAGTAAGGCACAAAACCAATCCATTTGCAGAATTAGTCTTACATTAGCACATAGGAGTACAAATCGGCCTCCCTGGGGATGGATCCATTTGCAATTTCTCTCAGCATTTTTGGAGTAAGTCCAGTAGACTTTGGGAAAATCTAGTATTCACTGACCTTAAATTAACAAAAGTAATGTGACCCCTTTGTGTATTTTTTCCCCTTGATTGGGAAAGAAGGGGTGGATTTTTCTTTTTTAATAACCACCTGTGATTCAGGGTTGTGGTTCTTAACTTTTAATGTGCATAACAAACCTTTGAAAAAATGATGCTTGAGTCCCACCAGTGGAATTTTGGAGCGTAGGTCCGGGTGGGGCTGAGGCCATTTAAAAAAACCACTCAACTGGTGATTTTGATGTACAGTATAGGACATGTCACTAAAAATGGTAGAGAATATTTGTGCTATTGTCACAGTATTAAAAACCAAGTTGTACGTTATCAGATGCTTTTCCTTGAATTTGAAGGAATGTTAATTCTTTGAATTTATTGGTCTTCTAAAGCATACATTTGGCAAGTCTCCTATTGCTGGGAGCACAGTTATTCCCTAAACAATGTACTCACTTTGATTTTCAAAAATAGTGTGACTAAGTTTTCTTGTATTCCTGTTAACAGTGTCTTTAAATTCTTCCTTCTTAGCACATAACAGAAATGCCAAGTTAGCCATTTTCAGGTGTTTAAGTCAGTGTCAGTGTAGAGTTGGATTACTGTGGGTCACAAGGTTCTGGGTGGCTCTTTGCTTCACCATGGTCTAGGTAGACGTCTGATAGTGTCTGTTAGATAACAAGGAGTTTCTCTGCACGTGAGTAGCAAGTGAAATTTTGACTTGGGAAATACTAAGTGTGAGTGCTTAAAGCATTCTGCTGGAGCTGTTAGGCTTTACATGGTTACTGGGCTGCACCCTTTTTCCAGAATGTGGCTTGAGATCCTTGTCCTATGTACCTATAAAAGAGTTGTGTTTTCAACCACAGGTCAAACATGCTGTTAATCCTTATAAGGTGTTTCCTAAATGATATGTCACCAGTAATAACAAACAGGAGTACATAAATCACTTACCTAACCTTTAATTTACTGTACTTGTTTGATTGGTATATGACATTACTCTCATATACCTGCAGGCTGGCCTTGTAGAAAGGTCCAGGTAGGGGCAAAGGGCCCAGGCATCTGCCCAGGCACTGACTAGTTACTGGAACAGACTGCCCTGCGGGAGAGGATGTAGCTTTGGTGGAGCTGCTTGTTTGGCCATAGTAGTGTCTGGGAAGGGACTCAGCTGTGAGCTAGTGGCAGACAACATTCTCATCTGGGAGTGAGTCTCAGACCCAGAGGACGAGTGTGAGTGACCTCACTACAGCATCCACTACAAGAGCCATTGGATGGATGTCTTGCCACAATTATTCCACACATGCAGCATGAAACTTCACGATTTGGTGTCCTAACCTTGTGGGTCTACATACTGTTTAAGATATTTGGTACTGGTTTGCTTTCCTTCATTTGGTATATTGGTTTCTTTTTTCCTCCTCTCATTCCCTGACGATTGGTAGTAACAGGGAACATCATCAGCATGAAAACCTGGGGCCTGAACTTTTTTGGGTTGAAGATCATTTTAGAGTTTAGATGTAATTCTAAGAGCACAGTGATTTAAACAAAAAAAGGTTGTCTCTGGAATGTTGGTGCTTATGTAGTTAGAGTTCAGTGCCTTGGAGCAGTGGTTGCCCTACAGAACACTGCATTTTCACAGTGAGAGCAGTGTGACATCTCTGACTGTTGACGTGCTTGCTATAACACTGCTTACTGGCCATTTGCAGCCTGGCAGTTTGTATCCTTTTTATCCACCATATATACCAGAGAAAATCCCTCCTGAGTGATTATGGAGGAATACCCTTTTAGAGTTGTTAATTATTTCTGAATCTTCTTGGAGAAGCTGCTTTGTGTATATCCTTCCAGTGATGAGACTCTGGAGTGACTAACCTTTGCTTTACCATCCCCTTGCTACTACTATTACCGACTGTCATCTGCTTGTGGTATGATGACAAGTATCCTGTGTGTGTAAACAACAAGCTGATTTAGGAGTACCACAGGAGGTGAGCCAGATTAACAATATTTAAAGAAGGAAAGGGGAGCTGGAGTTACTCTTGAGAAAAGAAAATAGCTGTATTCATAATCCTCTATTGCATACTCACCCTGGTACTTGTGCTGAGGCTTTTCTGTGTGTTGTCTCATTTTAGTCCTAATATCATAGCCGTTTTGGGGCCCAGGGATATAGCTCAGTGGCCCCGTGCCTGCCTTGAAAGTGCAAGGTCCTGAGCTCGATCTCTGGTACTGGAAAAAGAAAAAAAAAAATTCTAAAAAAATCATAGCCATTTTGTAGGGTAGTTATAGTGTATCTGTTTGAAGGTGAGGAAGCTTACATGCATTTAGCCTAGAGGCATGGCTAGTAAGGGGCAGAACTGGGCTCATCATTTGGAATCTTTGCTCTGACCCTTCAGGTAGTGTTCATCCCAGAAAAGATAGTGGCTGGGAACAAGGAGGATAGTAGCAGGATTGGGGTTATGGGACGATAGAGCTGCTGCATTCCAAGAGGAGGATGGAGACTAGAGAATAGGCCAATTGAATGGCATAAGATGGAAGGCTTCTGCAGTCAGAGGTCTGACTTTTCTATACCAGAAAAAAAATGTTGATGTCTCACGCCTCATCCAAGTCACATCAAGTCCAGAAACTAGTTAATGGTGCATCCTGAGTGGGACCTACTAAAGAAAGACCTGGCACATTGCTAAAGGAGATGTCAGTTTGAATGAGTGCATGCTTTTTCCTGCCTTTGTTCTAGCTATATGAGGTTAAGAAATATTTTTCTGTTGTTTCTTCACAAGTGAGTGAAGCAGGCCTTTCCACTTCACTATGGTCAGAATAATCCAAAAGAATAAGCAGGAGGAAGTCCAGGGTTGCAAGTGGTAGTCTGTCTTACGTGACTACATAGCCAGCAGTGACTCCCTCAAGTGTGGTGTTGAGGAGTCTCCAGTTGTCTCTGGCTGAGAGTAATCCCCTCCACTTTTGAGACAGGGTCTTACATGTAGTCCGGGCTGGCTGTGATCTCATTATATAGCCCAGGCTGGCCTCGAGCCGGTGGCAGTCTTCCTGCCTCAGCCTCCCAAGTGCTGGGATTAAAGGCCTGAGGCACCTGGCTGGACCTCTTTGTTCACAAGTGAAGCCAGTTGTGTGTGTGTGTGTTGGGGGGACTTCACCCAACATTAGACTAATAACTTCCTATTGTTTTTTTTAAGCCAGGGACCCCTGTGCCTTCCAGTTACCATTGCAGATTTTTTTTCCTTTTTCCTCTGTACGGCCAGTACTTCTGTCCTGACTTAACATTCTGTTCTTTTTTTTCCAACAGAGAATTGTCAACTCTCTTTCTTTTTCACTTTTTTTACCCCCTCTAGAGATCTTTTTTGGCCCTCATACTTCGCCTTGTACTGCTTTGCAGTTAAGCACCACCTTTCTTTATTATATTCCTGATTCTTCTTTAGCCTTGAGGCTCCTAGATGAACAGAAATATAATTCCAGAACAATCTTTGTTCTGAATCTTAGTGGGGTCCAAATCAGTGCTCTAAATCAGAGTCTAAATCCCTTAACAATCCTGAGACTATTTTCTATTTTGAGTCTGCAGCCTCGAAATACATAAAACTGCTGTGTCTGAGTGGTGAATTAACAATTTGCTTGCAACCAATAAGTCATTGATGTCAGCCAAAGCTTATTAAAAATGGATTTTATTGAGTGAGTTCTGTTGGGACAAAGAGCACAGCTTTCCCCGGCTTTGCAGAAGCACATAACACAGTGAACGTTGGCAGGTGGATTTGGGAACAGGCAAAGGGGTGCACATGCATGCTTGGCTTTTCTCTGTTTTGTGCTCATATTCCTTTGTGCTATCGGGATCGTCATGACAGCCTTATCTCTCAGCTGAAGCCTATTACCTCATCTCTAATTGCTTACCCAAAGGCAGGCGAGCTCTCATTTCTCCACATTAATAAATGACACTGAAGAAGAACTGCTTTGTTTGCATTGGCTCGCTCAGGTTAACCAGCGTAAGCCCCAAGAGCATTGGGAAACCTCAAGGAAAGATGGTGTTCACCTCGACCCAGAGCTGCCTTCCACTTGTTTACTTTTTGCTCATGTTCTCCGCCCTAGTCTTTCCCTAGTGAAAACACTTCAGTGACTCAGGTCAGCATTTCTGCAGCTGGGGGTACTCACTCCCCTCTGAGTTGGGGGGAGTAGCAGTTGTCCTGGGAGGAAGAGTGGCCTTACTGATTTCTAGGCTCACTTTTTTGGCCACTTTGCTGCTCACCTGTCCTGAGAAATCAGGAGAGAATACCCAAGCTTTTCCACCGATTCCTATCGTGTACCCCGGGATGTAAGATAGCACCCCTGCTTCTCCTTTTCAGAGCATTACAGGAAACTAGTGTGGATTTCACAAGTGAATGTGAGGCGTTTAGGTTTGTGGGGGTCAGAGTTGAGGGTATCTGGTGACTTTTGAATTAGTTGTATGACTGACTACTTTGTGAACTCAGGAGAGCATTCCCTCCTCGGAAATAGCTGTCCCTTTTGTCACCACCTAGTAATATCTGTGGTCACTTAAAGCGGCTCCAAATATTGAGTTATTTTCATATCTCCAAATTGTAAGCAGATTTTTTTTCTCCTCAGAATGAAATGGATGATGTGCCCTTCTTTGATGTCCAACTACCTTATGAATTGGCAGTCAATATATTTCAATATCTGGACAGGAAAGATCTAGGAAGGTGTGCGCAGGTAAGCCATCATTAACATATTCAAGATTTTTCTAAATGTGTGGTTAAAGTATAGGTAGCTCCTGGGTAAAAGAAATTTATTTTATAGAATTATAGACTCTGTAGAATTAATGAATTGCCTAGCATCTTTACTTGAAGCAAATCAACCTTGAACTTAAAGGATTATGCTACACATCAACACTTGTAGTTTATCTTGCTGTGACTGGTCAAGAGCTCTCTTCTCACTGCAATCTGAGTTATGACTGACCTGTGGCACTGAGCTCAAGGCTGACAACTCTGGCTGCAGCCTTTACTGAGCTAGCGTATCCTGGTAATGTACTCATGGTTTCTAATGCAAACATGTGAGTCCTTGGTTAAATCAGGCTGGTGTAGGGGTGGTAGCTGAGTGTCAGCCTAGGGACAGAACAGTGAAATCATGTTTTGGGCATATAGTCAGAATTACCCTTTAAACATCAGGGTCCCACACAGTGAAGTGGCGGCCTGTGAGAACTAACACCAAAGCAATTGCTGATCAACGGCACCTATCTCATGCTGACTCTGGAGCATATGCCCATGGAGTGGAATGTTGGAATGTGTGCATGAAGCATGGGAGAATGTTCATGACATAATATTTGTATTCAGGAGGTCTGGGGTGGGGCCAGGTAGTTTACCTTTATAGCTAGGTGTATTAGTTGGCTTTCCTGTCCCTGGGACAAAATGCTTGACACCTATAACTTAAAGGAGGAGAAGTTTATTTGGATCACAATTTCCAGTGGGTTTATTTCATGGTCATTCAACTCTAAGGCAAAAACAATAGTAAAGGGGGATGGTGGAAGACAGCTGCTCACCCTATGGCAGCCAGGAAGCAGAGAGAGAAGGGAGGAGCTGGGGTCAAGAATATACCCTACCAGCTAGATGTGGTGGTGTGCTCCTATAATCCCAGTACTTGGGAGGCTGATGCAGGAGGATTGCTAGTAATTTGAGGCCAGCCTGAGGGGGCTACATAGTGAGTTCACGGCCAGACTGGACTATGTAGTAAGACCTTGCCTCAAACAAAACAAAACAACAAAAAAGAAAACCTTTGCAGGTTACACTCCCAGTGACCCACCTCTTCTGACCAGGTCCCACCTCCCAATAGCACATTTAGTATGAATTCATCAGTGAATTAATGCACTGAGCGTAGTACCCTTCATGGTTCAGTCACCTTTGAAACACATGAAATTTTTGTGGGACCTCTTAGATCTAAACTATAACATTCTGCTCCTGGCCACCAAAAGATTCATGTCCATCTCATTATGCAGAATGCATTTAGTTCATCTCCAAGAATTGCCAAAGTCTTAGCAGTTTCAGCACTACTGAAAGGCACAAGTCCAAAGTGTCCTCTGAGAGTCAAGGCAAACTTAGTTGTGACCACCTATGCTGGTTGTAGGTCACATGACTGTCTTGAGCAGTTTCTACTCATTGTCTATAGCTTTTCTTGGCAGATTTTACATGTTCTTGGCACCTCAAACTTCTTGGGATGCATCTTTGGCTTTACTCTCACAGTATCATGCATTGCCTTCTTGGTCTTCTTGCCTGGCCTCCTAGGTCTTTCTCTGAAATCTGGATGGAAGCCTCCATGACCCTACAACTCTTTTTTTTTTTTTTTTTTGGGTACTGGGTATCGAACTCAGGTCCTTGCGCTTGCGCAATAGGCGGCAAAACCACTGAGCTGAATCCCTGGCCCCATGACCCTACAACTCCTGCATTCTGCATTCCTGAAAAACCAGCACCACATGAATGACACCAGAGTTCTCTGCCAACTCATGTCGTAGGTGGGCCCTCTTGTACCATGGCTGCTGTGGCCTCCAGTGCCTGGATGGCTGAACTCTGGCAGCCCTGAATGAGCAAGGAGCCCTGGGGCCCTCTTTTTAAAGCAAAGTCCTTAAAGGAAGTTTACCTGTACTGTTTTATACCCTTGAGCCTGCAAAAGGTGGAGTCTGGCCAATTCCTGAGATGCATTTAAGCCATCTTTCTGAATATTGTCCTGATGGAAAGTACATGGCCTAATGTTAATCTTTTCAGAAACCATCCTGTCCTTGTTCTCAACTTTGCAGTTGCTTCCATTCTGATGAAACTCAAAAGTTTTTACCTCTGCATTTTGCTCCTGATTCCCAATGTAGTTCTGACTAAAACCAGCCAGCAGTATCCATACCACAGCCTAAACATAGGGCTGTCTTGAAATTTCCTCCACCTTATTAATTAGTCCACTACTCTTAATCTCAGTCTTGTGCAAAATTTCAGCACCTGGGCAAAATGAAGTCAAATTATCTGCCAGAGTGTAACATATAGGACCTCTAGTCCAACTGCCAATGAAGTTCTTATTCCCAACTGAAATCTCATTAGTGTGGCCTTTACAGTGCACATTCTTAACATTCTGATCTTCTGAGCTCTGACTAGTATAGCACATGAAGCGCTGCTCACAAATTCTAGGGCTTCTCTAGCCTGTATTTCCAAACTTTTCCGAATTCCTCCTCCAAACATTTTCCAAAGGCTTCTAAACCACATGGTCAGGTACAGTTGCAGCAACATCTCAACTTTCCTGTTGCATGGACAAAATACTCAATACCTACAACATAAAGAAGATGAGGTTTATTTGGCTCACAGTCTTTATAGTCCATAGTTAGCTGGCTGCGAGGCAAAGATGGCATGGTGGAAAGGCATGGCAGAGAAAAATTGCTCATCCTGTGGCAGCTAGGAAGCAGAGAGAGAAGAGATGAGGCAGGGACAAGAGTGTATCTTTCCAGGACACACTGCCAGTGACCCATCTCTGACCAGGATCTACCTCCCAACAGCACATTCACTGGTGTATAGTGCCCCGGTGACCCAGTCACCTTCCAAACATGAATATTTTGGAGGATGTTTTAGATCTAAACCATAATACTAGATGATGCCTATGTGACTTTGGCTATACTTCAAGAGACAAGAGTTTATGTCATTAAAATTATTCTCTTGTTCTTATCTCTTTAGCCAAGAGTATATGAGATTGATCTTTCCTTTTTCCTTCTCCCACATTATCCTCTTTCCTTTCCCGTTTCCTTTTTTTTTTTTTTTTTTTCCTTAGTGGGGGTTGAGCCTAGGACCTCATGCATGCTAAGCAAGCACTGTACCACTAAGCTACATTCCCAGCCCTATATATTTTTTATTTTGAGACAGGGTCTTGATAAGTTGCCTGTGGTAGCACTGGACTTGAAATCTTCCTGCCTCGGCCTAATAGCTGGGATTACAGGTGTGTGCCGCTACATCTGGATTTTTTAATAAATTCACTTTATTTTTCGTTGACAAAATTGTATATTATGTTCAACATGATGTTCTGAAATATGTATACATTGTGGAGTGGCTAAATCAAACTACTCAAATTATCTCACATTTTTGTGGTAAGTACACTTAAAATCTACTCTCAGCAATTTTCAACTATACAAAACATTGTTATTAACAACCACTGTATTGTACTATATGTCTCTTGGACTCTTTCCTGCTGACTGACATTTTGTATATTTTAAGCAATGTCTCATTTTGTATCTCCATGAGTTGAATTTTAGATTCCATATGTACATGATAGTATATAGTATTTGTTTTTCCATGCCTGTTTATTTTACTTAACATAGTGCCCTCTAAGTTCATCCATGTTCTTAAAAATGAGAAGCTTTCCTTCTTTTTTAAGGCTAAATAGTATTCTGTTGTGTGTATATATACCACATTTTCTTTATTTATCTGTTGACTCCATATCTTGGCTTTGTGAATAAAGCTGCAGTGCAGATATCTCTTTGAATTGCTTTCCTTTGGATCTGTATCAAGTAGCAAAATTGCTAGATCATATGGTAGTTCTATTTTTATTATTCTGAAGAATCTCCACTCTGTTTTTCCATAACTACTGTACCAATCAGCTTTCCCACCAACGGTGTTTGAAGTCTCCATATTTTCTTGAGCACGTAACCTTTGTCTTTTTAGAATAGCCATTCTAACAGGTGTGAGGTGGTTTTGATTTGCATTTCTCTGATTAGTGATGTTGAGCACTTTTTTATATACCTGTTAGCCATTTGAATGTCTTCTTTTGAGAAATGTTTTTTCAGGTCCTTCACTCATTTTTTAAACTGGGTAATTTCTCTCTTGCTGAATTCTGTATATATTTTGCGTATTAATTTTTTCTCAAATGTATGGTTTTAAAATATTTTCTCCCATTCCATAGCTTTTCTCTTCGTTTTGTTTTCTTTTTCTTTTTTGGTACTGGGGACTGAACTCGGGACCTTGCACTTGCGAGGCAGGCGGTGGAACCACTGAGCTAAATCCCCGGCCCAGTGTTTCTTTTGTTGTATAAAAGCTTTTTAGTTTGATCTAATCCTGTTTGTCTAATTTTGTTTTTGTTGCCTGTTCTTTGGGGATTATATCTAACAGAATCATTGCCTCAGACCAGTGTCATGAAGCTTTTCTTCTACTACTTTTATCATTTCAAGCTTTATTTTAAGACTTTCACTCATTTTGAGGTGATATTTGAATACAAGTGTGAGATGAGGGTCTAATTTCATTCCTTTCCATGTGGATATCCAGTTTTCTCAGCGTGATTCATTGAAGAGACTGCCTTTTCCCATTATATGTTCTTGGCACTTTTGTTGAAAATCAAGTGACTGTAAATGATGAGTTCGTTTCTGAGCTCTTTGTTCTGTTTCATTGGCCTATGTATCTGTTTTCAATGCCAGCATCACACTGTTTTGATTACTGTAGCTTTGTGTAGTATATTTTGAAGTCAGATAGTGTGGTGCTTCCAGCATTGTTCTTTTTGCTCAAGGTTCCTTTTCTAGTCAAGGTCTTTTGTGGTTCCATATAAATTTTACAGGTTTTTTTCTTTTTCCATGAAAAATATCTTTGGTGTTTTGATAGAAATTGCCTTGAATCTTGTAGAATATTTTGGGTGTTATGGATCTTTCAACAATATTGATTCAGTCTATAAACACAGGACTATGTTTCATTTATTTGTGTGTTAAG